TTTTATTTTGAACGTTAATTATATTTATATATTGTTAAACTTAACACAAGATATTGGTATTATTAATTATTTATGCTCTTCATGTGGCAGTGTTTTGAAATATTCATGATGCACAGGAGGTATATAAGGTAATAGCTGCTGCATATCCTTATATTTTTCGTATGTAATAGGCTTGGCATCGTGATGGAAATTGGACTTACATCACTTTCATAATCAATGGTTACGCAATTTCTTTTACCGGCCAATTTTAAATTGAACAAAGCATTGACTTTTTTAAAGATATTAAATACTAACTAGTTATGAACAAAAAGTTTACACTAAATTAAGCATAAATTACGTCATATCTCATTTTTTTAAAAAAAGGACTTACACCACTTTCAAAATAAACGGTCCAAATGATAAAAGTGCGATGAAATTAGCAAGAATACATTAACATAAAAAAAAACATTAACACTCGATATACGGAGCACTAGCAGCAGCTATTTTACATATGTTAATTCATAAAAATAACAGGCATGTATTTATTCAGACTTTCAGCAATTTTAATTATAATACACAACATGTAATGAAATAAAAGTGAATAAATTGCACGTAAATGTATCTCTGTAACTTCGATCATCGTAAATTAAACAATTTGGTACGCATCAAACTGACTGTTATAGAACTGTTATAAACGAATGTTAATATTGAAAATTGTATGGAATGTAGCTTTCGCGAGTGCTAGTGCCGACAGAAAAAGCTGGACGACTTCGAGAAAATAAAAATAAAGAAAAAAAATGTAAAGAAATAAAAGAAATAAAAACGTAGAGACAAAGTACAAATAACCGTGTATGTATATATATTTAACAAAACTAAGGATGAAATTAATACATACATACGTACTAGATTTACGTTCAATAGTTTACGCGCCCACTCGCTTGTTTCGCCTGATTGCAATCATGGCCAACGCCCAGTGAACAATCGCTCTTCATTTGTTTCAAGGAGCGTGCGACATCGGTCCTATAATTAATCGATATCTCGATCGAGTACATTGGTCGACTGTAGTAAAAATGAATTAATTTCCATTTTCTGCTTGGATTACAGTTTTATCAGAACCAGTTTCAGAAATAATACAAAAGGAAATAATAATATAAATGATTGAAATTGAATGGATCTTTTGTTGGAACATTGCAATATTTGAGCATGTTTTGTTAAAAGGGTATTCTGGTGTGACGAATATTGACGTGATATAAAAAAACATACATATTGCATTCAATTTAAAAAATCGAAGATCGCCTTAATCCCTAGAAAACTGATGCAGATAAAAAAGTATTAGAGGCACCGTTATATTGCTCGCAAAAAGCAGTATAACTTTTTCCTCTTTCACCTTCTTCCAATGTTTACTGTTCGCAAGAAAGAAAAAACGCTGACTGGTGTCGGCGTGAACACCTTGTATATCATCGACACGTCATTTCAATTTCGAAGCAAGCGTCACGCTGCTACCTTTCAATTACGTTCAAAATTCCAGCGACGATAGCCAATTTCGTCCGACTAGGAATGAATGTTTGAAAACGAATAAGAAATGAAATGAAGGGTGCGGACGTGGCGGATTGGAAATTCGAATCAAACGAGCTTAATCGGACATTTGCTGCACTCGTTTCTGGGCCGAACGGCTGCCGTTAACGATGAAATCTGCTGTAAGATTGGTTCTCAACTTCCGTAATGTTTCTGAAATGAAAGAAGTTCGGCTGGTGGTCGGACAAACCAGCTCGGCTCGCAAATTTTCGTACCATCGACCACATTATTTCGCCGCAAACGGATGCCCGACCATTAGAATAACTAAGCTATCTCTGTTGCGGCTAGCCGCGCCGCGAGTTATTTTTAAACTCTCTTCCCGGGGATTATTTAAACGCGAAATTAGCCTGTCACGTGGCACGTTCGATCGAAAACCGCCATTCGGCAAATTAATTCTCGAGCACCGTCCTAAATGAGGGACCAAGCCGATCTTCAACGACGACGTAGATTATATGAGCTTAGATCGAGAACATTCGATCGGGTAAAATCCAATTCCGTTCTGCACACGAACACGAAAGTCGATTTGCCGCACAATTCTCGGCTTTTGAAAAATGCAGTTTCGAAGGA